AGGAGCTAGAACACCCAAAACGCCCAGGTGTGCAGGAGCAGAGCCAGGAATGGTGGTAGGGGGATCTCACTGCTGGAACATGCAGGACACCCCAAATCAGCCTAATCTTCACCTCCACTCCAAACTCAGCCTGACCTCAGGGGTGACACAGAGGAGACGGGTCTGCGAGGAGGAAGAGAAAGCAGAAGGTTCCAGGAGGAAGCAGAAGAGAGATCAGCTGCGGAGAGATGGCCGACTTCCCCCACCGGAAACATGGCCGCCCCCAGGGACAGGACGGCTTCTACTCCTTCAAGTGGAACTTCAGCCAGAACGGCTTTGCTGGTATTGGGTGGAGTGGGGGATGGTGAGACAGGATGTGGAGTTTGTATTGTCCCCGGCGGGGTGATTACAGGAAGTGGGAGATCCCCCCCAACAGGAGGCCAGACAGCACAGTGGAGGCTATAGCTGGTGGTATTCTGTATTCATTGCTATATAGTTTTACACTTTTCATTTCACTATATTGCACACCACACTTTCTTTTCTTTTCTTATTTACTATCACCACTCCAAGTTTGCTCCCGTTGTGGACTACAATCTCAATACAAACTAGTAGCTCATCACTGGAGCCATTTTTTAAAATGTATTTTATTTTTTATCCGATTAACCGATTAATCGAACTCAATAATCGGCTAACTAATCGATTTTGAAAATAATCGTTAGTTGCAGCTCTACCAACAACCCCACCACCTCCATAGAGAGGGCCCTTGCAACACCACCGCAGAATAGCAGAGAGCCCCCCCACCCCCCAACAACACCACCGTCTCTATACAGAGGACCCCCGCGACACCACCCCAGTACACAACCCTGTATAGGGGCAAAGTGCCCCACAAACATCCCCACCGCCTCCATACAGAGGACCCCCGTGACACCACCCCAGTACACAACCCTGTATAAGGGCAAGGAGCCCCTCAACAACACCACCACCTCCATACAGAGGGCCCCACGACATCACCCCAGTACACAACCCTGTAAAAGGGCAAGGAGCCCCCCAACAACACCACCTCCATACAGAGGGCCCCCACGACACCACCCCAGTACACAACCCTGTAAAAGGGCAAGGAGCCCCCCAACAACAACACCACCTCAATACAGAGGGCCCCACGACATCACCCCAGTACACAACCCAGAATAGCAGAGAGCCCCCCAACAACCCCACCGCCTCCATACAGAGGACCCTCGCAACACCATCCCAGCACACAACCCTGTATAGGGCAAGGAGCCCCCCCAACAACACCACCACCACACAGAGGGCCCCGCGACATCACCCCAACACCTCCAGAGGGCCCCCGCAACACCACCCCAGTACACAACCCTGTTTAGGGGCAGAGAGCCCCCCCAACAACCCCACCACCTCCATACAGAGGGCCCCCGCAACACCACCCCAGTACACAACCACCCCCATAGGGATACACAGTACCCGCCCGCACAGGGGGGTCCACAGAGTTCATGAAGGGGGTCCGGGGACTCGGCACAGAGCTTAGTAATCACCGCGTCCTGTACCAGGACAGAGCCGGGCACCGGGGATTTGGGCTCACTTCTCTGATTGCTGAACTCCAGATACAAGGCACCCGTTCAGAGTAGAGTCCAGTGATCGGCATAGAGGAGGACAATGCCGGGAACTGCTGGGACTTGTAGTTCTGCACTGACTGCATGCAGCTAATTAGACGCTGGGACTGCTGGGACTTGTGGTGCTACCCTGACACAAGCAATTGTTGCTGGAGTTGCCCCCGGATTCCTATTTTGTGGATCATTGAAGCAGTTATATTTGTCCCCTGTACACAGCCGCCCCCCCCCCAAAACATGGACCCCCATAGGGGTACAGAGGGCCCCCCAAACCACAGCACCCATAGGGGTAGACTGCCCCCAATACC